GGAGATTTCATCTCAAGCTAAAAAATGTCTGTAAAAGTCTTTCCTTTTGGTCCAAGAATTCTATTGAGAATATTTTTTATAAGACCAAGGAATTGCAGAATATGCTTGAGGTATTAGAGGAAAGATGTCTAAATGACAATTCTGAAAGCAATAGCATGTAATACAATAATGTGAATGCACAGTTGATTAGGCACATAAAAATAAAGAGTCATTGTGGAGACAAAAAGTTGGCTTGAAGTAGTTTACGGATAGTGACAATAACACTAGTTTCTTTCACTCTGTAATTAATTCTAGAAGGAAAAAATTACAACTTACAAGAATCAAGAAGCAAGATGGTACCTGGATTGAGAACAAAGATGATATAGCTACTGAAGCTATTAACTTTTTTGAGCAGCAGTTCCCACAAGAAAATACTTGCAGAGATTTTTCAAAGCTTAGGGGGCTTAATAGAGTAATAAATGAAGAAGATAACTTGGTTTTAGAGGCACTCCCTATCATGGATGAACTGAAACAGGTAGTATTCTCCATGGATAGTAGCAGCTCGCCTGGCCCCGATGGCATTTCTGAAAAATTCTTTCAATACTGCTGGAATATAATTTTTGCTGATCTCTATCAGGTGGTTTTGGAATTCTTCTCTGGGCAACCATTTCCTAGATCATTCACTCATATATGCCTTGTCCTTATCCCTAAAACTGATAGCCCGCAACAATTCACTGATTTTAGGCATATTAGTCTAAGCAACTTCACTTCCAAAATTATCTCAAAGTTGCTTAACAGTAGGCTAGCCCCTCTTATAAACAGGATTATTTCTCCAAACCAAATTGGTTTCCTTAAAGGTATGTCAATCTCAGATAATGTCATGCTTACTCAAGAACTTATTCATAACTTGAATAGGCCCAATGTCAATGGTAATGTAGTTTTTAAGCTAGACATGGCAACGGCCTTTGACAAAGTTCCTTGGGAGTACCTCTGTCCAACCATGAGGCAATTAGGCTTTTCTGAATGTTGGATTGATATGGTTGCAAGATTGATCTCAAACAATTGGTACTTCATCAATGTCAATGGAGTGAGACATGTGCTTTTCAAATCCTCTAGGGGCCTTAAGCAAGGAGACCAACTATCCCACTCACTTTTTGTCATTGGGGCAGAATTGTTGTCTTACATGATTGACCAGCTAGTACTTGATAATTTTATTAATTTTTCTATGGATTGAGGCAATCCTTTAATCACTCACCTCACATATACTGATGACACCATCCTCTTCTCCTCTGGTGACTTGTTATCTATTGCCATGATGATGAAAAAGTTGGAGAACTATGAACAAGCCTCAGGACAAATGGTGAATAAAAGAAAATCTACATTCCTCGTATCTCCTAAAACTCCTTCAACTGTAATTGAAGACATCAAATGCATCACTCGTTTTTCCCATTCCCAGTTCCCTTTTACTTATTTGGGGTGCCCTATTTACCCTGGGAGAAAGAAAATTTGCTACTTTGGAAATATGGTGGCCAAAATAGCAAATAGAACTCAGGGTTGGAAAGGGAAAATTCTCTCTTTTGGGGGTAGAGCAGTCCTTATCAGGTCTGTATTGCATTCTATTCCTTTACATATCATATTTGTTGTGCATCCACCAAAAACTACCCTTGATCATATTGATGCTAGTTTTTTCTGGGGTACAATAGAGAGCAAGAGAAGTTATCATTGGTTTTCCTGGAAGAATTTATATTATCCTAAGATGGAGGGAGGGGTAGGTTTTAGATCATTGCATGACATTTGCATTTCTTTTGCTGCTAAATTCTGGTGGAATTTCATAACTCAAAAGCCTCTTCTCACCCTCTTCCTGGAAGCTAAATACTGCAAAAGATATCATCCAGTTGCTAGAAAAAAGAGTTATACTCAGTCACACTCTTGGAGAAGGCTAATGGATATCAAGAAAGACTGTGAAGCACATATTTTATGGAATGTAGAAAAAGGTAACCTTTCCTTTTGGTGGGATAACTGGACCAATAAAGGAGCCCTTGCTAATTTAGTTCAACAGGGAAACAAGTCCCAGAAGATAAAGGTGGCTGATTTTATTAAACTCCGTGATACTCTCCCTTCTAATTTGGTTTATCATATTCAATCTATCAAGATTTCTCCTGAAGAGAAAGATCTTCCTATTTGGCTCGCAATCCCCACTGGATCTTTTTCTAGTAAATCAGCATGGAAAACTTTTAGAAAATCTAGAGGCTCTTCCTTCACTTCAACTAAGATCTGGCACCGTAAGCTACCATTTAAAGTATCTTTTCATGTTATGAGATTATTAAATGGTAAGCTTGCAACTGATGACTCTTTGATCAGGTTTGGGGTTCATGGGCCCTCAAAATGTTATTTGCTGCATCAATAGCAATATGAAAACTACAAACCATTTATTTTGTGATGGTGATGTGGCTCTAAAAGTTTGGAAATATTTTCAAGTCTATTAACTCTGTTGGTGGTATTCGAGCCAAATTCCTCAGATGGTGGCTCATCAAACCACAAAACAAAGTTCATGACATGATATTGCAATGTCTCCCCTCTATTATCTGTTGGGAAATATGGAAATATAGATGTACCTACAATATGAGGGTATCAGAAGTTCAATTCATAGAATTATTGGTCAAAGTACCTACTTGATGCAACAGTTGCTTTCTACTAAATTTCCTTCTCTGCCTTTTATGTCTTCTTTCCCGAGGATATGTCAATTGGTAGAAATAATCAAACCTCAACTATACATTCTTCCTGTGAGATGGAATAAACCGAGTGTTGGGGAATTTAAATTAAATATTGATGGTTGTAGCAAAGGAAACCCAGGTAATGCAGGAGGTGGAGGGGTGTTAAGAGATCATCTCGGACGTTTGATCATGGCTTTCTCTGTTTACCTTGGTAGTTGCTCAAACAATTCAGCTGAAGCTCAAGCAATCAAAACTGGAGTTAGATGGTGCTTAGATCATGGCTTCAACAGGTTGACAGTTGAGTCAGATTCTCTTGTTGTTATCCAGATGATAAGAGGAGAAATTTCTACTACTTGGCATATAAAGGATGAGATCTCAGCGATTCAAGCAATGAATCTAATTGGAAATTTGCATTATGTTCACACACTCAGAGAAGGTAACATCCCAGCAGACCTCCTAGCTAATATAGCTGAAGTAGAGAGAAAGAGTCCGTTCTTCACTGAGGCTATAAATCTTCCAAGGCAGTTTATATCCTTATTGAAGAACGACGAGAAAGGGATGCCAAATTTCAAAATCATGGTAAGAAAGAGGACCTTTATTTTTTATCCAGGCTGACTGATCTTTCTTAGTTCCTTTGTTTTGTGAGCTAATCTGTTTAAGGAGCAACCCACCTAATTCTTGTTGGACTAGTCAAATTGTAATGGATGGACTTGGTCCATCCCAACTTTTCTCTGAGAGGTTTGGTTTATGCCCCTCTATGTACATCTTGACTTAGCGGTGTCCATTCAATTTATCGATTCGATTTTGACCCTTATCGATAATTACTTATCGATTATCGATTTGTACATATGCTTATCGTTATCGTTTCAATAAGGTTTCGATTTTTTCGATTTCGATTTATCGATTTTTGGGGCTTATCGATTCGATTATCGATTACACCAAAAAAAATTGCGGGATTCCACGGAATGTATATCGCTATAAACACGCCTAACTAATATAGACAAAAAGAAGCTAAAATAAGACGAACACCGTTTATAACATAAAAATTATGTCAACAAGCACATGCAACGAAACTAAAGTAAGGGATTAAATGTATGCCACCAACACTCCAACAGTATAAAATCATTCCCCCTTATCGGTATGAAATTTGTTCTTTTAGTATATTTTATCGGTTTATCGATAAACCGATAACCGAAGAGGACAAAATCGAAATCGATAACTCGATAAGGAAAATTTCGAAATCGAAATCGATAAACCGATAACAAATAATCGATTCGATTTATCGATAAATTGATTCGAATGCACACCCCTATCTTGACTTATCAATGCATTCTCCAGTTAAAATAAAAAAAGTATAATTCATCTAACACAAGATTCCCTTTGTGGGGTAAAGGATTTGGATGGATAAAGTAAAAATGGGATTCTTCTCAATCCGATTATTCCACTACAGCTCCCTTTTTCTCTCTTTGGTTCATAGTAGTTAGAAGTATAGAGAAAATTCGACGAACTCAAATGTTCGCAACACATGTCGATTTTCTATTTGTATAAGTTAGGCTAGGATATATACCTGTGGAATTATTTCTCTTTGTCCAATCATCTTCTTTCTTTTGATTGTCTGTAAATTTCTTTGAACCACGTATTAACAGCTCCAATTATCTTCTTTCTTTTGATTTTAAATATCGCTTACGTAGTTGAGAGTTTTTCGCTTATGTATGATAAACATGTCTTGCTTTTCTATGATAATATGAATGGTATATTATATTTGTTCTCAGAGGTGATTTCAGAATTTGAAATTTATCGGTTCTTATGATTTTAATGCATATACATTATCTGAATAAAAGTTATTGGGTTCATGTGAACTCGTATATTGTACAGCATCCTAGTTGATACCAAAAATTTAAAGTTGATTGATTCCTACAGCAGTACCCTCAAGTTAGCTTACTGATACGTCTGGGCAAAAGTTACTGGTACGATGCGGCCACTGCCTACAATCTTCTTGCACAATTCAGACTCCATCAAAATGGCCCTATCTAGGAACATATTAAGTTACCTGCGTTAATAATGAAAATTCACGATTAGTAGAATTTAATTGGTTATATCAAACTGTTTTTCATTTTGGTATATTAGACTTGGTATAAAGTTAGATGTTGTTTTAGGTTATTAACCTGATACTATAAATATTATTTACATTGTCACTGCACATAACTAGCGCTTACCCCACCATCTCTTCCATCACCCTCCTCAAACCACGCACACCCCTCTAAAAAAGATTTTAAATAAATATAATAAATAGCAAAAATCCTCTATATAAGCCCCTCACACCCTCTTCCTTCAAGCCATCTCACAAGCTAGAGATTTAGAAATATTCTAACCAATTCTCCTTTCCTCCTCAAACTAACATCTTAGCTCAATCAAATTACTAATATGTCTGGAGTTTGGGTATTCAAGAATGGAGTTGTCCGACTTGAAGATTGTCAAGGCTCAAGTGGTCGTCGAAAAGTGCTAGTTCATATTCCAAGTAATGAAGTCATCACATCCTATGCAGTACTTGAAAGGAAACTTTATTCTCTTGGTTGGGAAAGGTATTATGATGATCTTGACCTTCTTCAGTACCATAAAAGGTCTACTGTTCATCTCATTTCTCTCCCAAAAGATTTCAACAAGTTTAAGTCCATGCACATGTACGATATTGTCGTCAAGAATCGCAATGAGTTTGAAGTTAGAGACATGTGATAATAATTAAGAAAGAAGAGGGGACGTTCATTAATTTGAAGTCATTCTTCTCGCTGTGTTGATGCTTCTTTGGTTTTTTTCTTTCTTATTTGGGGTGATTTTCTAGTGTGTTGTAATTAGGTTTCATACTTTAATTTGTGGTTTGTTTCATAATGTTGCAAATGTTGGGATGTTAATGGTGTATATTTAAAGGTTGTTAATCCATTTTCATTGTACTTCCTCAGCTACATATATTTGAGTGTACGACATCTAAATTTGAAATTTAACGGTCTAGATTATAGTACATTAACAAGTATCTTAACCATAGTTAAATTAAATAAGTTTTGGACAAGTATACTGTCCAACTTTGGTAGGAAAACGGCATATATCCCCCACAAATTATGCTACCCATTTAATATCATTAATTTCATCTTATTGTTTTTAGATTCAAATATTAAAATTGTAGAACATGAACCTAAGAGGTTTTGGTTATTCTTTTTTGAAAAGTATTCTCTGGACCTTAAAAAATATTAAATGGGACTTATATGTACTCATGTGCAGTTGAGGAAATACACAAAAAGTATTAATGGAAAGGAGCCGCATCGGAATTTCATAATGATAATAAGAACATTTTGTTGTGATTCTCGATCAATATGAAGATTATTTGGGAGGAAAAACAACTCTATTTCACAAGAATAGAATTACAGAGAATTTACACCAAGAATTTCTCTCTACAAAAAAAAAA